GAAAAAGTTGCTCCAAAGAGGTTGTGAGGTTTGGCAGAGATACGTACATATTCAGAAAATACGGTTTGTGTTTAAATATAATCTTATGCTGTAAAATTTGGTGAGTTACCCTTTTGTCAGCCTGAACTCTGGCCTTACTGATATCTCTCTTAACTTTTGAGTTGATGTTATCTTAGTACTGAAAAAGCTTGCCAATATTACACACATGCAAAAATGGGGAAATAATACAGATGTTGATTTTTTTTTTCGTTGGAATGAGAAATGAAATGTCAAATAAGGAGATCTCCCTCATGCCACTTGGATGTGGTGGCATGTAGACTAACAAAAGGAATCCTTCCAAGGGACTCTGAGAGTTCAACAGCTCTAAGAGTTACAATCAAGCTCTTAAGATTCACCTTAGCAGAGGTAAGGAGTTGCAAGGTAGGAACTCAGTAACACTTATCTTTCAAAAACAGAGCAGTCCTCTGACCTGAAAAAATCTGCTGACTGGTTATGGTTTATATCCATAATGGCAGTATCAGTTGCAAGGCTTTCATGCACATATTGTTAAACAAGCCTCTGCCTAGGCTAACAGACTGTGGTCTGGTCTCTCTGAAGTTTAAAAAAAATTAAAAAAATAAAATTATACTTTGGTTCTTTGGAGTTTGTACTGCACAAGGGAGAAAGTGCACCAGCATATGTGGTCTCACCAGATTCTTTCCAGGACAGCAAACATACAGACAATGAAGTTAGGTAATATTATTTCTTTAGCTCATTTATTTGTTAAAAAGAAGCCTCATTTCAGGAATGTGATGGGACCAAACAACAAAAGGTAGGTTCCTCACTCAGGAATCCTCAACGTGCCATGCAAGTAAACCCTACATTCTCAAATTTTGTTACTTTACTCCTTCAGAAAAGCATACGCAACACTACTTTTCTCTGCTCTTCATCTCAGCAAACACAGAGGCTACAAACTGCAGTCTGAAAAGTCCTTGGCACAGCCATTGACAAATCTGAAGATCTTTCAATTAATGACTCACCTGATAACAGCTATTAGCACTTCCCAGCTTAATACTATCACCAACTGTAGATGAAGATACCAGAAAAAAGCAAGAGAAAATGTAATTTCTCTCAGTAAGGCAACATATCCTGGATAACCAACTCTTGTCTTACATTTACAACCCTAATAATGACTTTACAAGCCTGCATAATAGCATGAAGATTGCTGCCACCTGACAACTAAGTAGGCATTTTGATTACAGCAAGTACAGGCCAGATGTGGTCTCTCCCCACCCATGAGTTACTGACTTGACCCTTTCAGAGGGAGAACCCTCTTTAGAAAACTGATTGGCAGCAGCGATTAGGGGGCGTTTCTAAACTTGAGTTTAGCTCAGACTCAACTGCTTTTCCTCAAGAACCATAAAAATATTCTATCTGCAAAAGGAGGGAATTGCAAATGGAACCTATGCTACAAGTTATGCTTGGCGGTTAGTATTTGTGGGAGTGCATTTTCAAGACAGGAATATAGGCAGCTGACAAACCACTCAGATTTTCTGTTCTTTGCATAATATAAGTAAGGACAGACTTTGTGGTAGAGGAAAGGAATGATGCTTGTAAGAATTTAGGAGTAATGTGAGTCTTAGCTAGTAGGATCCAGAGCAATAGGATGATGAGAAACCCATCCCTAAAGGTAAAAGATACTGGGACAGTAGCCTGATCTGTGGCATTTTTCTTCAAATTTCCTAAAAAGATGGGAGTATTTTTCACTATCTTTTTTCTGATCAGTTTTCAGCTATACCCTTATGATGAAGACACAAAATCTTCAGAAGTTCCTTTCTTTTCCAACCTGGGACTTCACAGTAAAGAAAATATTACAGTCTGCTCAGTCACAAGGCTTGTATGAGCTAAAGGGAGGTTAAAAAACAAAACAAAACAACCCCAGAATTCAGCAATGACTTAAGCAAGGTCTGGTGCATAAAAGTTTAAGAGCCATAATAAAAGTGGCTAGCACCTGGGAGATATTAAAATCCAAATATTTCATATGGGTGTGACTTCTTAACTGGCTTCAGCTCCTTAAAAACTCTGCCATGGCTAAAAGGGCAGTCCTGCTTTTTCTGCATGTGGAGTCTGTGCATAGTCTTCTGCCTTCCTGTGGGAGAGCAGTGATCTGGTCATTCTACAACTGTTCTAGTGCCACAAAGGGAAAGTCAGGGATAGAGCAGATGGAAATAAGAGTGGAGCAATTTTCTTCATCATGCTCAGGTTAGGGTCTGAGATAAAACCAGTTGAATTTGAGGTTTCCACTGGCTCTGATTGGTGATGATTTATATAAACTTCACCTAAAAGAGAGGTAAGTCACATTCTCTGTTTTCCACTTAGGTGTGGAACACTAGATGAATTTCATCCCTGTCAAAATGAGAGTCAGAACAGCCCTAGCTGTTTTACAGGTGATAGTGTTTCTGGTAGTGGCAAGCTCCCAGCATGTATTTAATTTGTATATCTATAAAGTATGGGTGCAAAACCACCTCCCTTGCACACACAAGCCTGTGAAGCACATGCTTCCATACCATGACACAGCTTCAGCTGCATAGGCCCCACCTGGACCAGGGCTTTACCTACATCTGCCTTTGGGCAGACCCAGAGGGGCCCTTAAACACATGCTGTGTACTGAAGATGACTGGCCTGCTTGCTGAGCATTTACAAAACACCTGCTTCATAGATATTATCACATATCCAACCGGTATTGACTTGATCAGCCTTTTGTTTGACAGGTATATGTTTTGTAGGCTATGAATATGCATATGTGCCTTAGACATGCAATTGTTATCTCACCCAATAAGGAGACAATTTACAATATTTAAGTAATTTGCATAATATGTAGAGTGTCTAAAATTAAAGTGTGGGTGATTTTATACAGTCTGTGGTTAGAACTCACCCATTTGTTTTTCTGTTTATCCTTTAGTTAAGTATTTATCTCACAAATACTGAATTTGGCTAGGATACTTTCTTTGAATATGAATTTTCTTTACCTTGATCTAAAAATATGTTATCCTACACTGCCATCAAAGTAAAGGATAAATGCCTATATACCACCAGGAGCATAAATTAACCAAAGTTGATCCCTGAAAAATAATTATTTCATGAGCAAGTTGGGGGGTAAAAAAAAAAAAAAAGTTATAAAACAGAGGTTGTTCTGAAATCACTTCAGAAGAACATAATTTCTCTGAATAACCCACAAGAACTTACATGAGTTAAGATAAACTGTTTTGTCTTATATAACCTGGCCTTGGCAATGCCCAGAATTTAATATCCTAAATTTGTACAGATACAATACAATATCACCTGCAAATTAAGTGGGACAAAGATTTTCTTACTTGGCATTAAAAATCATTCTCTCAGAAGAGAGAGAAGTAGATACCTTCCACATTCTTGTATTTTCTGTTACAAATTCCTCACTGGTGAAGTATCCAGAACAACAAAGGGGCTACTACAGGAAATTTTTATCTTCTTGGCAACAGGATAATTCTTTAGCAGCTCTTTAAAAGTATCACTGTAATGCCACAAGATCAGAACACTGAGCAAAAGGAAAGGGAGAAGGAAAACTGAAATTCAACACTCTTGTTGATATACCCTCAAAACTGGCATTTCTAATTCCAATATTGACTGTCTATATTGGAATCCCCAACTTTGTTTCTTTGCCCTGTTTATATGTACAGAATGCGTTTTTTTTTTTTTCCTTCTGCTTTGTCTTCCCTTGCATTATTTTAAAACTGTTTTTTTTTCCTTTTTTTGTCACATCAGCTTTACAAGACTATGTATCCCAGATCAGAGTCCTTAGAATCGATACTCTTCATTCCCGAGAACACAGGGTTGGTGGTGGTACTGCAGGTGCTTTATTAAACAGAACTATTGCCAGCTACTGAGGTGTTTCAAAAGGGAGGAAAAAAGGGGTCTTTTTAAGTTTTGCTAAAAGGCATAGGTCAGTCTGTCTCTGAAGCCCAGTCAGCATCTTGCAGGATCAGTCCTCAGGTTATTACTACTTGGGATAAGCAGGTTTTGAAAGCTCTCACTGAAGCTCAAGCTAGAGTTACAGTTAAGAAGGAGTCCCTTAGGATGAAAGTGGACAGGTCAAAATACAGGCCTAAAGGCTAATTCTGACATGTTAGGTTCATTCTCCTAGCAATAATTAACAACTCTTAGTACTTACCTGTCTACAGCTTCTTCAAAGTGTCTTATATCCATGCCAGCTTTCTCTGAAGTCACCAAGAACCAAACCAGATGGAAAATTTACCCTGATGTGTACTTTACCACAGCATGGATCGGTACTACCTTTAATCACAGTATTCCCTGCACTGAAAAGGGGGAATACGTCAAGTATTTTGGTAAATATAGCTACTACACATGGCAAATGTCAAGATTTTAATGACACTCACTTTTCAGTGCTTTCCATTTTCAAAGGGTTTCCCATTGGTTGACATACTTTAGAGTAATGGCTATTCAAAACTGCCCTGTGAAGTAAGTGCTAGAAGTATAAAGTTGCTTTCTGGCTTTCTTCTCTCCCTTGAGTTCATTGCCCCAAAACCCTTAGAATGGGGGCTGTATTCAATCACTGCTACGTAGTCCTGGCATGTTAAAAGCTGTTTCATGACAACATGGTTAGCAGGTAGGTACTTTTGCTGCTTGATTTGTCCAGTGAAACAACCGGCTCAGCCTCCAGGCTTGGCAGGGTAGATGTGTGCCTGCCATTGCTAAGGCCTCATTCTTCACTGTGTCATATCCTTAAACTTCAGTGGAAGCCAGAAGGCAGAATATAGACTTTGCATTTTGACTATAGAGTTAGCTTATCTCTCACCACTTGAGTCTTGCTTTGGTGTTCTTAAACGCCACACTTCATTTGTTAGTTCTTTTTTCTTTTAATCCAGCCTTCAAGAATGTGTTTCGTAACAGCTCACATCTATGGGATAATTATGCTTAGGTAGCTGTACTCAACAGTGACGATTTCATAACATGTCACAAACAGGTGCCCATTAAATTCCTTTATTGGAGACAAAAACATTGCATAATTACTGATTTGATGAGGAAAACTGCAAATAGTATAGACTGTTTCTACTGCCAGCAAAATACGGTTATTACAGGATTTATAGACATAGAAATATAAAGTGTTTCTTTCATGCCAGATGGTCTGTACATAACAATGCCATTAGGAGCGCTTAATTGTGCTTCTGCAAAACCTTTAGAGAAGAATGAGGTAGAGTTTCGTTTAGTTTATCCAGTATTTTTTCCCACATCTGTCCTTTACCACTTTTATATGCTCACATCCTTGTAAAATACCCAGTTAACTTGAACATTTGTGAAAACAGAGACCCTTCAGAGGTGTTTACTTCTCCCTCTTTAAGCTGCTAATTTCTCACTGTTTATATGCTACAATTCCAATAATTACTACTGTACCCTTCTAAATGCCTCAAATGTCAGGTAGATTGGGACATCCGTCTTTCCAAATTTACTGCTTCAGCAGAAATTGTTTGCAAATAGCTTCAGATAAAACTCTTGTCTCCATCATGGCAAAGAACCTTTTACCTGTAGAAACATTTTCTTGCTGTTAGATGATCTGGAGCATTACCTGTTTGTTTTGATCTAATATTTTTTGTTTCATGACATATAACTCTGTTGCAGGTTTCAGTTCTGATACTAGGGCTCAAGTTATGAAAATGTAGGCACGGATGTAGGTATTTAAGCAACTGAGTAAGAGCATTCTCAAATAGTAATAGCAATCTACCATCTTGCTAGATATTTGGTGTACCTGGATAGTCTCTGGTTTGGACTGAATTAGAATGGTAATGATGTTCTTCTGACCTGTATTGACTGACTTGATGGGTAATTTTACTCTCATTCTGGAAACAGAAGACTTTTCACTTTACTTTTTGCTCTGGCATTTGCTACAAGCACTTACTAAAAATTTTATAGCATGCTAGTAGGGTACAGGAGAGGAAAAAACCTGTTATTTTACTTGAAGAGGTCACAATTCTAGTGGTGACCAGATAATAATGAAGAGGGGATTTGGCATACAGGAAGAAGGTGATTACATAAAGAAAATTTGCTTTCTCCTCATAACCTACAGAGATATGATAGTTTAAGATAATAGTTCAGTGATACTGTATCAGAATTCTAAAATGAAAAGCAAAATTTTTATAAAAAGGTGCAAAATTTAAAAGATTCCATGTTCATATCTTGATCTCTCTGATCATAAAATGAAAGAAAATCTGTTCATGCAGGATAGTACCACCTGAGATAACTTCTGAGCTCTTCCATCTCAGTTAGACTGCTCTAAATCTGCCAAAATCAAGTTCTATGAAGAGTTAGCATTATTAAGAGAACCAGCTCTTAGAAAGTTTCCCAGCTCTTGCTTAGGAAAAAAAAAAAAAAAAAAAAAAAAGCACTACACTCACTTATTTTATCTACTATTGCCTGCATACCTCTTTGGTAAAAACCAAAACTGACCAGTGTTGGAAAGCCATTTTGGAACACTAGTTAATTACTTCCACAAAGCTGTCTTCTTTTTCTTTATCCAGCAGATATTTTAAATATTTTAAAATTCTATATCGAGGTCTTTTTTTAAAAGAATGGCATGAGAATTCAGGACTGTGTTAAAAATTGGACACAATAAATTAAGTTTTAAGATAAGCAAACAGTATAAATTCATGTTTAGAGAGAAGGATGAGGATCCAGCCATGCTGTTATTACTAGTGAATTTCAACACCATTATTTTTAGTAACTTTGGGTGTGGTTAACAAGATTTATTTTTAAGTGAGTTACTAATTCCAAAATTTTCTTCCACATCTAAGGCTTGACTATTCTAATTCAGTATTGTTACACACCTATTAAGCTCTAACATACTTGGCTTTTCTAGCTCAAAGTAATGGCTAAGTTAGTTTTGTTTATGGAGTTGGAGATGTATTTGACAACTGTACTACATAGATGGTACTCAGATTTTGCATAGTCAGGGAAAATATCCTGGAATTGCCACTAATAACCATCAGGCTTAAAGCAAGGCATGGACAGAAGGATTGCTACAACAGTATTTTTCACCAATGCAATACCATTACTCTCTTCCACTATTATGACTAAAAATGTAAATACTTATTAAGAAGTTACCTAGCGTAAATGATTTAGGACTTACGAATTATTTTTCCAAATCTTGAGGATAGTGACAAAATACAGTAAAACACAGCTCTTTGACACTTCTCAATTGCTCATTATTGCAGTTCAGAAAATCTGTAGTCAAGATTGATAGAGAGGTCTGTGTCAGTGCTACATGACAAAGTATACCTCTAGAATAGTTGTAATCTAATGACTCTACACTGAGAGCTACAATGCTTCCTTCAAATATCACTTAAATAAGATCTTACTGTTTGAGAGGTGGAGGTGAATTCTCTTTTCAAGAGAATGCATGCTACTTTATACTCTGAAATACATATTTTACTTGTTTATGGGTTCATACAGAAAACCTTAAATATATTTCTCATTCAAATAACACTATTCTCCTGCATAATCAAGATAATTCTATTCTAAAGCAATCCTTGAAATACTGGACTTCACATGGCATCTTTTTCTGCTGCTTAAAAAGCTTTCTGGAAAGCTTATTTGATCTGTAGTAAAATTACTTTTTAGGCAAAAGTTTGGATTAGAGTGAAAAGTAGTATAAGTGGTAGTACTACTCCGCACTTACAAAGAGGCTAGATAACTTGTCCAGGGTCACAAAGCCAGTGGCAGTCTATTCAGGCATTATATGTGCAGGTGGTAAAGTGCAATTCTGATCCCTGAACACCTGCAAGATGAACTTTTTTTTCTTTTTAACTGCCATTACTACTAAAAACAACAAGACTGCAAAATTTGCTTAAATGGTCACTTTTAGATATGAGACTAAGTGGCATCATGATAGGAGGCTGGGGGAAAGGGGCTGCAAGTCTGTGTGGAAGGGAGAGAAAGACAGCAAGGAACAGCCCACCGCAGGACACACTCAGCCAGCATTTATACCTGCCCACCTCTCAGTATATGAGCCTGTCACTGGAACATTAAAACTCACCATGAGTAGAGTGAATCCCACGCAGAGAGTGCCAATGTGCCATAGTCTGGCAGTCTGTGCTACCATCTCTGTATTCTATTTGATTGCAAGGCACTATCAACAGACAGTTCACACTAAGCAATCTGTTGAGATTATGCAGCTCGTTTTGGAGAGGCCATTGAATTCAAGAGGGTTCCTCCTCTAATTAGGCAGCTATGAGATCAGTCCCAGCTGTTTTTCTGTCTACCTTCTTGGAAGACGATGTATTAGACAGACATTTCAAATAACTTGCATTCCAAATGACTCTTTCAAATATCACATTTTTCCAAATTACCATTCTTCATGTCTGAGGAAAAATAAGTATAAATTTAAGTATACAGGAGAGGATCAATGATGTTTCTTTGTTGAATTAGGTAAACCCTAAACAAGAATTTATCTAGAAAGAGGAGGACTAGAGGACAACTGCTTTTTGGCTTGAGATAGTTGAACAGGTGTAAACAATGGCTGGGCAGAGATCTTTCTCACTATCTTGCTTTTGTCTTATCAGACTTCCCTTCTATATCCCAGAAAAGTCGTGTTTGCCTTCCACTGTTACAGACTGAACAGATTATCTACCCGAAGCAGGAACATTTATTAGCATTCTCACCAGAGTCTGTCACTAAATTCTCAGCTAATTTGCCCTTATCCCAGTTAAGAATCTAGTTAAGTAATGCCAGTTGCTGAAGCCATAACTCTTGGCATCAGAACAGCTTGTATGAAATGCCAGTTTTGTGAAAAGTTCTCTGATTTGAAGGACTTCTTTCCTATGCATAAATCATGCTCACCAAACTGAAAATTAAGGACATGCTCAATACTGAAAATAATAATCAAAAGAATGAAGGAGAGAAGAAAGAACATATGAAAATTAGAGTTCATTATTATAATTTTAAAGTATCAGTGTTTGTAAAACATAAGCATGTGAAAGGCTGAATCTCATTTGATCAACCCAATTAAACATTAAATAATTGCATCCAATTATGCAAATATCACACAACAATATTAATTTGTTGATCTTTTTTGAACAGTCTCAAATGTTCCTAATGTTAGACTATCTTATGTCTTAAATGATCAATTAGCAGAACCATAACTAAGTGATGAAGAATGGATAATTGCCTAGTTATGATGTACCATACTCTTTCTATGTAAATCTGTTGCAATTAAACAAATAGGGCACATAGAGAAAAGAGTGCAGATGTTCTTTTACAATCTATTATTAGCTCAGGGAATACCGCAGTTCCCTCCTAAATTTTACAGGCGAAAATAGGGAGAATGCAATACCAAATACTCATTATTATTTACACATATTATTTCTTTCCTTTGGTTAACAGGATAAAAAAGCAGTGGCAGAATGCAGGGTAGGACAGAAGAATTTCCTGTGCTATACAGACCCGTCAGCTCCCTTATTTAGGTTTTAAACTTTAAAATCTAGAACCTGTTCACCTGGATACCATTTGAAAAAAAGCACAACTCTGAGTTGACATAGCCAGAGTAAAGCAATTAACCAAGATGTTAAAGACAACAGTTAACATACACACACTACATGTTTTCATTCTTCTCTGCTAGAAAAGTCTACGCATTTCTGTGGGTCATTCCAGTTTCAACTCTCATCATTTTAAAGTCTCTATAAGCTCAAAATGTGCAGTAAAGGGAAAGGTGTCTCTCTGGTGAGCGCAGGAGGCAGTGCAAACCACAATAAATGAAACCGCCTGGTTTCCTCATGTTAAATTACTTGCATCCAATTTAAGAAGAGTTTTACACAACATTAGGTTTACACCACAATAAAATAATTCTTCTAACTGGTCCTTATTCATTCTGACTAGAGAATAGATTACTGCTGGTAATACTGATGCCTTCATGGAGATTTTTGATAGATGATACCTGTCAACTCTATCAACATCCTGAGATGTTAAGGTATCACACAACCGCTTTGCCATGCATTTGAATTTAGATGTTTCCACTCTTTCTTTTGCTACTAAATCTGAGATGAACATAAAGGAACAGATTAGATAGTAACAGGAAGCCACATGTGGTTGCTCATTACATAATTTTTAGAGCTCCATGCCACACTCTAGTTAAAGGCACTCTTTAATTATGATACTTGTCTCATTGGATAAAACTCTCTACCCCACATTGCATCTTGACATATTCCCCATACTAATTTTTCCACCCATCTAATTACATAAAAAGAAAGACTACCAGCAGCTTATAATACGTAGTAAGATACTGAACAAAGACCAGCACACGATACAGATTCAAATGGTCAGAAAAGCTAACATGCAATACTATTGCTACTATAAGTGAAACAACATTTTGTGCTTGCAGTTGTATTCTAAAGAGAAAATTATTCAACAAATTTTAATAATAGTTACATCATCAGAGAGAACCTTCAACTGTTCTTCATTAAAATCTCAGATTGGAGTGCAGTGAAAGATAGTAAAAGTAATGATTTAAGGAAGCAAAAGAAAGTGATGGCTAAGTAGGTGTTGTCTTTAAAATCTGACCAAAAATCAACAGGAAAGCCATAAGGCTACTTTTTAGCAGTTGCATAAGGCATGGATGGTCTATTAGAAATTATATTTTGTCTTTTTAAACTATGTTAACAAATGCCAGTAACTACAAAGGACTTACAAAGCATGAGAGAGATACTGCTGGGTCTTACAAAAAATAAAGTGCTAAATATTTCCCTTAATACTGGTGCATGTCTACTGCAAACTATGGTAATAAATGTTTCACTTTTACTTCTTATAGGACTCTATTAGTGACAATAAAGGTCTACCAGTTTTACACTGAAGTAGCACTTCGGAACACTGATACAGAATGTGGTGATCCTTTTTGGCAAGAGATATCTTAAAGCTGTTCAACAGACCTGTGTGCAAAAAGAGAAAGCTAATAAATATTACAGTATGATTGTTAATGAACGTTTGCAAAAGTTATTTCCCTGACTATGGGCTACATACTCTGTATTGCTTCCAAATAGTATCAAGACCGCACGTGAGAGAGTAGCGGTATATGAAGAGGTATGTGCTTAATCAGAATGAAACCAGGGTTTGAATGGAATCTCTTTCCTTCTTGTGCTAGATATTTTCCGTTGATAACATAGCTTATTCCTTAATAGGAAGGCGCTATTAAAGCACACGTGTCAATGGAGGCTGGATACATTTCACAAGTGGTGAAGGGGAGAAGAAAAACATTTTGCTGATCTAAATTAGGTGACTGGATAATGAAAGAAATTCCTCAATCTAAAAGTTTGGTTGCTGTGACGAGTGGTCCAACTTTCACAGCCAGCCACAGTTGTCTAATCTTATTTTCTAGACATTCACCTGGAAGGCAACAGTGCGTCTGCAGTGCCCAGATCTGTGCTAGGCCAGACAAAGGGTAATTTTTGTTTCAGCAGGGCCTGACCCAGTCCTGTAAATCACGCATGGAAGGATGTATTCAGCTACTAGGGAGGTATGCACTGCCCAAGCAGCCACTGCATATCCCCATGGAGGGAAAGGCAATAGGCCAACAGGGAGCATCTTGCAGGTTAGATTGCCTCAGATAATTTTGGCCTAAAGGATGAAGCTGTTATTTGACAGAGTATGCATGAGGGGATCTAGAGAGCTACACAAACTCAGAAATCTCGCATAGGAGCAGAGTATGGGAGGAAAGAGCATATGGCTAAACTTAATTGTCTCCTGAACACAGAGCAAAAGGCAGAATAATGTGAACAGAACCCTACAGCCAGCTGACAGGCAATGCCTTTGTGTTATATGACAATGTGCTCTGCTGGTGATGGCTGTTAAAACAAACTGAAGAGCAGTTGAAGAGCATTTTACAAGTTTTCAGACTGTACATAAGACACAAGGAGGCACTAAGAAAACCATTAGGAAAGTTCTATTGCTAACATTTAGCACCTCTACCAAGAAGACAGGCTTCTACCAACAGAATTACAGTAGAAATCAAAATGATTGTGTTCACATTTGCCAGATTGTAGAAACAATCATCCTGGGAAGGAAATTGATACAGAAACTATGCTACACACAGGCAGCTACAGAAGTTGTCTTTATTCATGTCTGGTCTGTCCGGAGGGTCTGAACTCTTCTACCTTCATGACACCAGCACTGCCCAATCGCTGTCTTCTCTTCCATACTGAAATGGAGCAAAAATGGAGTTTAAGAATAAAAGTAACTGTGTACAATTATGGTAACTTCTTAGGTCTATCCTCAGAAAGATTCTTATCTACCACCCTGACAGTAGTTTACATTATTTCTAATGCCTTTACTTCTGTCTTTGATTTGAGCAAAGCCTAGAGGCAGCTTGAAGCTTTATTCATCTTCCAATAAGTAGACTAAGAAGGGGTAATACTGATACTCATTAGAGATGATACAGAATAGTCCTGCTTCACTAGAGCTTTCCATCAATTTAATACAGTTACTCCCTGAGGTCAGTTCATTAATTCATTCATAAGTACATCCATGCTCAAGCTCCAATAAACAAACACATTTGGTTGTATTTCTTTTTATTTTCAAGGTGGGTTTTTATTACAGCATTCTGACTGAATGTGAAACAAAACCCATCACAAATACCTAAAGTACAATTAAAGAGAATTGTAACCCACATAAAACAAGTCATCTTTCCATATTCAAACCAACAGGATCACCAGTCAGAAACAAAGGCAACCTACCACATGGAGCTGTATCCCTTCCAGGGGAGGATACAGTCCAAAGGCAACACTTTTGATTGTTAAAAAATGGATCCATGTTCTAAAGCTCTTTGTCATCAGTGCTGTAAACAATGCTCCAGTGAGCCCCAAAAACGCACATAGGGATAAAGTATGTAAGTAAAGTAGAGGTGGAAAGATTAGCAGCAGGGGTAAGTTGGGAGCCCTTTCCCTCATAGTACCATGTTCAGGAAGTTTGAAAACACTTTTCACCAAGGAATAAAGACTGGGTTTAGACTCTTTATATAGACTGAAAAGATTACTTGATAATTTCTCCAGAGAAGATGAATAGAAGTTCCTCCAATCCAAATTCTGCAGCAGTAGAAAAGGAGATAAAGGGACCTTAAAGCAGGGAAAAGACAACAGCTCCAAACCAGGATGAGCCAGAAAAACACACTTCTAGATCCACAAAGGAATGATGTTCAGTGTGCTTGTGTTTTATTATTTACTCTAGCAGGTAAAGCTCTAAATGATTTCCACATGTATCACATCTAATTTTTCTTTTCATTGCTATTTCTGCTGCTCCTATTCTGCAGTCTGCAATGCGGTTGACTAAACACTGGTATGGTGCTACACAGGACCTTGGACGATGTACTTGTTCAAAGGATTTCCAGCTTACATTCCCAGATGTCAGTGTGGTTGCCTTAGGAACTCTAACCAAGGAAAAGCAGATGTATCATTAGTTTGACCACAAAGCACTGGATTACCCTCATATGAGGCAGTTTTGCTGAGGATGGGGGCAAGGAAGAAAAAAAGAGATGTCTGACCTTCGTATCACTGCTTCTCAGAGAAAAGGTGGCACTCCCACCTCCTCCAAATCAGAAAGCAGGCAAAGGCCAGGGTATTATTTGTAAGTTTTGGTGGCTTTAGTCAGTAGTATCATCTAATGCTCTGATGCTGACTTCAGAAATTGCAAGGGCTGATCTGAGTTGCCATTTGACTAGTTTCAACCTGCGTCCAGAATTACAAGGAGAATGAAGATACTATACAACAATCAAGATGTTTTCATTCCAGAAATAAAAGCAGTTTTAGCTTCCTTTTCTGTTTCTGTCAAAGACCTTGTGACTTCGGGCTAGTCAATCTCATCCCTCTTTTTCATCCCCACAGGTCCTGCTTTGTAAAAATTAACACATACATTCTCCTTCCTGGTTGATTTCTGCTGGCCAACCAATTTAGATAGTGCATCTTTGAGAAAGATTGAGTTTTTTGACTAAATGTCTGCTCACTGATTTATTGACTGCAGTGTTTAAATGTATTTTCTATCATGTAGTATAAACAATATATTTTACCTTCTATCTATCCCTTCCAAATTGCATCTTGATCTACACTCTAGAGGGTATAGCAAAACCTTGTTTATTCTCAAAGAATGGAATGCAAAACCACAAGAACATCTGAGTGGTATTTCACTGAGTGTATTCCCAGAGAAAAGAATCTCATCTCTAAATCTTCTAACTCAAGTGGTTATAGCAGATAGTGTACTATGACTAATTAATTCATAAACACACCGCTACTGTATACAATGTAAATTGCTTAATCTAAAATCTTTATCAGCCTTTAGTAATCATGATTTCCACTCAGTGATAGGAAGGGAAATGTATATTGCAGTGCTACTACTGTCTCTCTCCATTGGCATGAGAAATGGAATCAGTTCTGCCCATGAGTTTCTAATTTGTCACTCTAGCTCTAGTTCCACTGAACAGCTGTTCAAATCCAAAGAAATCCTGTTGAACACAGAAGACTTGCAAAAGAACAATGAACAGCATGAAAACAGACTTAGAAACACAATAATGAAGATAATGTGAAAATGTTAAAAAACCCCATATATTGTACATGAGGGAATCACTGTAACGATACTGGATATGGAGTCGTGCACCTTGTGGTCACAGGTTCAAATGCTGGACAATGTTGGTACTGAGAATTTTTACTTTTTTACAAATGCCTGTCGTCCAACATGAAATGAATACTTTACTCTAGTTCAGGCAACAGCACAGCACAGAGACCAAAGCTGTGACTGGCTGTCATTTTCATTGCATTTTATTTTTCAGAACTTGAATGTTCTTTGGAATAACAACCTCAGCCTGTCCAAATGATATGACAATAGTCCAATGATACTGCAAAGAGATATTTTTTTTCCACTCCTGTAGAATATATGAAAGATCTTTGTGAAAGATCCTGAAAACTCCTCTGATATTTTAATAATATTATATATCCCATTTTGTGTGTTGCAGCATTGTTTTCTGTAGGACAACCCGGGGTCCATTTGGATATGAGCTCATATCTCCACAGACAGAAAAGTGCAGAAACACAATCAGCAACCACTGATTGACTCCTAAAGGGGAAGCAGCCACCGTTCTCTTTAAAATAATGTTTCTAAAGATTAAGTGTTCTAACTCTCCTGGCCTTTTTAAAGATGGAAGAATACCCAGAAGTAAACATATACGTAATAGTCCAGCACTTTGCAGGAGTGATGGCTTTACTCTTGGCATGTAAATAATGAACACATGGTATGTACATAGTTGAAAGGCAAAAATGTCCATATGCGTAGTTGTGAAGTAAAAAAGTCCAAGAAAGATAGCGTTAGAAGCAATCCACACTTTTCCAACCTCCTTCTGAGCCTTGGTTGGAGGTGGTAAAGCAAGGTGATCAGGGAGGACATGGGAGAAAGCCTCAGGGAACAGGCTGGATAAATTTGTCTTAATAATCCACTCACTGTCTTTTGGCCAAGGGAGAAAGACGCATATTCCAGTGTTGTTTTCTGAAACAGAATTCTGGATTTCACAAGCCATTCTTCTAGAGAAGGCACTTGCTTGTCTCATGACACAAACTGCTAAGGCAGTACCCATTCCCACACGTAACACTCAACAAGGTGCTACAACTGGACTCAACTCTTTCTGATGCTGAGCTATTCCATGACTGTAATTAGAAGTAATCAGTGGAGAGTCAAATTGATCACAAATTGTTGAAGGCCCTAACATATGTTGCAAAAGCATTGCCTAGACATCAGAAGGCAACACAGAGGCTACACAAGTGTTTTTAGTTATTAAAGACAGATACTTGACATACTAACAAGATGGCTTTAACACAGAGCAGAGTGCTATGGAAACAGTGATCAGTACGTATCACAATGAAAAGTGTATAATAAATAAATCTGGTCATATGACAACAACAAAAAAATGACAGTGATGGACACCAACTGCTATTTTAGACAGGTGTATCAGGCACTTGGCATGAGAAAGATGAAATAAAACTGTGGTATGTAGTGGGATTCTGGAGAAAGGCTACCGTGTATTCTCACATAGTAAGATGATAAAAATATTACATGTAACTGAGCTGGGAATATGGAATACTAAGCCTCTCCTTTCCCTCAATAAATAATAAAATCTAGAACCAAAGGTGTCTATGCTTCTTCCCAGTTATCAGTCCCACCATTTGAAGAGAAAGTCCCAGACCCCAAGCCATTACATTTGACACAGCTGAAAAAAACAGAAACATGATGATGGAGTATCTCTTTTTGGCCTCATGAAAATTGGCTCAGCCACCAACACAAAGGTATCAGAATATCAGGAATTCTTTTCTCCCTGAGTTGCAGCCAGAAATGTCCAATACTATTGTAAAGAACAAGAGATGTTGAACCCATGTCATCCTCCTAGAGAAGAAGAGTCAAGTGCTCTTGCTGCATCGTTTGAGCTACAAGTTGGGGTGCGGAGGGGGCATGGGCAGCAGTTATGCTGGAGACCAGCAACTGTGAAAGGTAAAACTATGTAGAGAAACAAGAGTACAGAAGAACCACTGAAATTATGAGATGGCCTGACTACCCCTTGTCTAAGACTGCTTCACCCTGCTTCAATTAAGCAATGAAAAAAAACCCCACAATGAATAGCAATGGATTTAAACTTGGACTGCAATATAGCACAAAATGCTAAATAAATAACATTGCATAAATGAATCTGCTTATCATGGGATTTTAGGTGGGTCAGCATATGACAGCAGATTGTAATTCATGAGTAGTTTTTGTTTGGGGTCTCATCAGAAGAACCCTGTATGAGATTATTTCTATACACTAGTAAAGGGTCTGTAAAATAGAAGGAAAAAGGACTCTTTAGAAGTTCTGATTGTTTTATGGGGTTCATAGAGTTGCTATGTGGTGCGGTACATCTCACAATTTTTCAAGAAGATTCTTAGTTCAGGGCTTACTGGAAGGAAGATTAAAAAATTTAGTAGCAAATCTAAGAACATCTTGAGCTAAAAGCTAAGACTGTAGAACAGTAGCCATCAGACTTGAAGAAATCATGACAATATTGCCAAGCAGCTGCTGTCAGATCTTAAATAAAGGGTCTTGAAACTTGCCAAGACCTACCCCTATCCCCAAATTCCCCACACCATAAACTACACTAAAAATGGAAAAGGAAACAGGCAACTGAAATAAGAAAGGTCATCATGTGCTGCTCTGACTTTACCTGAAATGGTATTGACTTCTATGCCCTGACACGGAGGTCAAGCACAGAGTCCAAATAGACTTTGATGTTTAGCAAATCTCAGAAGAAGGAACTGTTTTAAGAACAGAAGTGACTGCATGATTGGAAAGATGCTGAGAAACAGAAATGGTTAACAGCTGGCTGTGTCCAGTGAGTGCTTACTACTTCACCCACCTCTTTATCGATTAGACTATATTCACTTGTGATTGTGGTTATTAAGATGCTTCATAATGCTATTTTTTTTCCCTTAAAAAGGACCCTATAACAACAATACTGGATATTACTGATAACAGTAATATCTTACAAATCTCATCCAGCTTCCAAGATGAACAAGGAAAAAGTATATCACTCTTCATCCATATCATACTTTCTCAAGGGAAAAAAAAAAAATAGAATTATAGAATAGCCACACCAAACAAGAGAGCCTATATTAGTATATAATGGTGTCTATACTACCACTATTAAAAAGATTTTTTCCAATGTTTGCAGATGTTCACCTTTTGTTATTTTATCTGGTTAAAGAAGAGGAAGCACCTTACCTGGATATCACTCAGCTTATTCAGGAAACGGATTGCTAGCTGAGGTCCATTCTCCATAGTTGGAATGTGCAAATGCTGACATTGAATAAAGGAAGAGAGGGGAGGGGGGGGCAGCAAATAGAGAGAATAAAATGTAATAACAGCTTTAGATACATATGAATGCCCTATGGTCACCACGAATTTCAGTAAGTATTTATCAAGCTTTCTAGCCCACTTTACAAGTAGGCAAGGATTGTCGTAATGTTTTTTATAGGAAGGCATGCTGAGCCAGTGAAAAGTTAGATTAGTTGAACTGTTACACTGTTTTTAAACAAAGGCTAATCTAAGCCTTCGAAAAGATCTGTCCAGAATGGAGGGTATATTGTATAGACAAACACTATATACAATACTGAATTTCAAAGTATATCGTGTGGAAACACAACAGGTACATTTATAGTACTTATCACTCAGCATCTGGATGTCTCTTATCTTAGCATCTGATAATATCAATACATTTATTCCATCTTACTAATTCAAGAAGTATCACCTAACAGACATTTACTGTACTTCTCATATTTAATGGAACCAAGTGCACCCACATATGCAGCTGCAATAACCCAGGCTTCTGAACTAACTTTGTGCTGGCTAAATATCATCAAGTCAGCTTAACAGTCTGAATGCCTCTGGAATTCCACCTGTGCAATCTCCCATATGGTATATAGTATGTTGCACCCTCTCAAAACAGCTCTTCCAACAGAGCTGGATTCCCTGCAGTGAGGGGTGAAGGAGAGATAAACTTGAGAAGGAAAGAATACAGTGGCTCAGAAATTTGGTTCCCTGCGAAAGTCTTTCCTCTCCTCACCTTTCCCACCTGCCTTAACTTTGGAAAAAATGTTCAACAAAAGAAACATGGGAGAATGTATTTTTCTATATTTTCAAAAAGACTGGGACCTGGGAACTATTTTTAATTATTTTCCTTCTCCCAAAAATTAAGATTTTATTATTTTAACTATTAAGAAACCTCAGAAGATGAGAGGGAAAGTTCTGTTCTGACAACATAGCAGTAATTCACTTGGGAAACAACATACTGACACTGTTCATCTTTGCAGGAGCCTCTGGCATCACTCCTTTTCTATCTCACTTGTTTTTTGCTTCATCTGCAATTAATTATGATAAAAGTCTGAACAAAGAAAGAAAGGGGAAAAAAAATAAAAAGAGAAAGACATTTTCTTACCTTGCCCTTATATAAAATTTTAGAGATAGGACATACAATACAAGCTGTTCCAGCACCAAACATCTCCTTCACTCTGTTTTCTTCCAAGGCAGCTGTCAGGTCACTCATGGTGATGTATCGCTCAGAGACTTTAAATTCTCCCTGTGCAACAAGAATCAACCATAAGAATTGTAAAAAGTTTAAAAATGGTTTGCATTTTTGTTTTCTATGTTGAAACATCTCTTCTAGAATTGTTAGCCTAGTGGCAATCAGTCAAGTTTTGGCTGTGATCTTGTGATCTTTTCAAACCTCCCAGTATCACACAAGATAGACTCTAATCAAAAGAATGACCTTCAAGGAAGCCATTGGTTTGCCAGATACAATGCTGATGGTTAAATGGCACTTCCCTCTGATTTGGTACAGAATATCAATATTGCATTAGAGAATAACACAGCAGAATTTGTCATGGATTATGTGACACAGGATGTGACTACTCATGGTCTCTAGCATGCTAGAGTTTGTACAAAAGTTACTCAGTTATGTCAAGAGAGCTTTGCATCCCACTCTCAGACAATTCCTAAGCAAAATACATTCTATTAATTCCACCTGCAACGCCAACAAGTTGTGGTATATTTCTTTAATCCCTGGTGAAATTTCACACTGTAGCCTGCACACAGCTGTGTCATACAAAAATTAATTGTACTGCAGGTGTGAGTAAAGCAATTCACATTGGACAGTCTTGACATAGGAAATGTTTTACCTTCTACAGATGTTGAAGAATGCACAGCAACTGACTGAGGGGATGTGTTTAAAGAACAAAAGTAAGTATCAAACTTTGAAATTTTCATTTCGTGGATGTATGTGGACTTTTTTGTCCTATCAGACCAAACTAAAGCTTAGCCCTTGTTTTATATGCAAGCTTTTTAACATGAAACAGAGATGCTTATGATAACAGAAAACATGATTAGCTCTGGAGAGGGTAGTATTTGAAAAGAGAGACAGGGACACCATGTAAGCAGAGTTTCAGATAGGTTAGACAATAGAGGTCAGGAAGAACAGAACAACCTTTGTGAGTGTAAAAGACAAGTAATTATTCAAGAGGACTGAGGTAAGAGTCTGGTATCTCACAAACAAGCCCTACCAACTGGGAATATCTGTCTGTCTTGTAAAAGAGATAGGACTGAGGAGTGTGCATACATCTGTGCACTAGGGGAGTACCAATACAAATAAAGATGAGCTAGAGTTCAGTGCAGGTCAAGTGGCACATATGCATCATGAAGTACATGCCTAGTACTCTTCACTGCAAGTTAGATTTATGTGATAAAACTGTGAACTGTATATTTTAGGGAATTTTTCAGCTACAGGTGGTTGGAAGCTGAGTTAATACTGGGGGGAAAGTATCATACATGCCTGTGTTATACCTGTTACTCGTCCCTATATATAAACCAGGAGACAGGATACTGGGCTTGATGAGCTTTTGGTTATTTAGCAGTCTTACCCAAGACACAATAAAACCTTTGAATACAGTACAGGCAGAGCAAACAGACTGCTGCATTTCAAGTTATGAGGTAGTCCCAAGTGTCCAAATAAATACTTGGATAGCTATACTACAGAACTGGAATCTTGCAGCAGACGTATGACTTCAAGACTGTGGCTGGATTTTAGGCTGCATGCTAGTTATTAGAAATAAGGGTTGAACCATGAGAACTAAGTGGAGAAATACTGTGTTGATGACTAAAGTATAGCTGTAGTCATGCACGGTAATTGTTTGCTTCCTTGCTTTAAATTGCTGGTACCAGTGGATTTAATGAGAATTTTCATGTTAAATACTACACGGAGCTACTTTAACAAGCTTTGTATTGTTCTGTGCAACAGGTGTGGGTATTCTGATAATGTTGCTGGGAATCTATGAATTAGCATGCCCTTAGTTCCCATTTAGGTTAAGGGATTTGACCAGATCAGTTGAACTTCAAGATACTGAGCACCAGGAATGCTTACTGTCGTAAATGGTATAACACGATAGTTGAAACCATTACTGCCAAGGTCAAAACACTCACCCAATTGCGTGCCAGATCCAAAATGCTTTGTCTTGTCACTCCTGGAAGGATGATGCCATCTAAAGGTGGGGTTGCCAGTTCATTTTCTGTCAAACACAAAAGAAATAGAAACACTGGTTGAAAAACAAAGAAACAAAAATCATGTTTATCAACATTTCACCAGACATGAAAATTAAAAAGAAGTTGAATGATATCAGAAACATTCCCTGCCCAGTAAGATACAACATTTTTCAGAGTTCTATAAGAACACAAGTTACACAAATTCAGGTCCAATAAGTTGTTGTTGAGCGTTTGTAACATTTTGAGTATGCTTCAGTGGGTGGGGAACAAACATATTTAATACATTAATAAATACGTGGCTAAAGCCTGGTGGTAGGTTTTATTCCTCAGAGTATTATGGATTCACTGTATAACTACTGGGAACCATTGAATGGCTCAGTATTCAAATTCAGAATAAAGAGGCACAAGGGAAAACCATGCCTAATAATCTCAGGGCAGATCACGACTTCTCCTGAACTGCGCTAGTTAATTTAGGAATCCAGGGTTCAGTATACCTACTTCATAGCATTAATATGGAACATATACCAGAAATTTTGAGGCCCATTTACTGAACAAGCAAAGCAGTGGAAACCTTGCCAAATCCATCTTGACAGGAGATTTCCTTGATGATCTTTTGTCTTAGTCTAGGTACCTTTTTGTCCCCTAATTTGCTTGTTTTCCTGGTTTGCTTTTGGAAAAGAACATTAGATAAATATTCATCTAAGATAATGAATGAAACAGTAGATAAATGGTAATTCATACTTGGTAAATACTTAAATTACAACAATGAAGTTTGTATGTAGCCTTTGTTCTTCCATCTGACCTTCGCAGCAAATCAGAGTTAATCTTTTTCATTTTAAAACATCACTTTCATTTTAAACCATCACATAGCATACACAGTGGTTTCTATTATCAGAGAATACTGAGCATTTACTCTTTCAGACAGCCAGGCTCTTTTAAGACAGTCTCAAATTTGCACCGAGAAGTGAAGACATCCACAGTCTTCCAGTAATACCCTTCATATTTTTTTCTAACCATTTTCTCTTCCCAATGAGAAACCATTATTTCTCTTGATCTTATAAGGATACTCTCCTTCTCATTAAATCCACAAACTGTTATGGGTTTTGATTCATTTTTACCTAGATCACATAAAAGAACAAGATATGTATCTTCATGTTTTTATAATGCCCCCTTCTCTCTATCTGCAAAAGATCACTGAGTCCAGGTCTGTTTGAACTTGTCTCAAAGGAGAAGCTGTCTTAAAAATGTTTCTATAGGTCTTGTGAAAACTTGCAGCTGCCTAGAAGAGAGAAACATGGTATTTATCCTTGGACTGAGAGAGCAGGTTGATCTCAGTTGCTTAATACTACGTTTTCAACAGTCAGCTAGGTAATTCTGTGCATAAACACCTCCTGCCAGCCAGTGGATACAATGCTCCAGACTGACTACAGCATGGGTTCTCTCCTGCTCTGCAAGAGGGGGCTTTGGGAGCTGGGGTGCTGTAAGGGAAATGGAAGATAAATAAATGGAATTGTTCATTGAGTCTGCTGCTTACTGTCTATTCTCTTGGGAAACGTCTGTTACTTTTTAGCACAGCCACCAATGGATTTATTCATCTGCATTAGAAGTTTTTCCTACCTGTGCTTCTATGTTCCTTTTATGAGGATCCATACAAACATAAGATGTTAACTGCCATGCCAAAATGTACAAAAAAGTTGCCCTGGAACACTCAATATATTCTGCTCTGGTTTAACTAACCTATCCCAGACTCCTAAGAGCAGCAGTGGTCTCTTCTTTCTCATACAGTCAGGAACAATAGCCTTCCTTTTTCGGAGTCTGTCTTGCATCACTCCCCACTGTGAATCATGTCTAGTCCTAATTCTGGCACAACTATCAAAAGAAGAGGACTTAAAAACTTTCCATGAGCCACAGGGCTCACCTGATTCTGAAAACCTGATGTTCTGCATTTGTGACCCAGTCATACACAAGTACGCCCCTTTCTCTAACAGAAAACTTCAAATAATGCGGACCTTAATACCAGGGTTGTGACTACACACCAGATAACGTTCTCTATTTGGTGATGTTGCCACAAATCTTGGCCAGGACCTGTTTAAGCTCAACAACACATATTAATTGACGTGAGCTAGCTCGAAAAGGTGCCAGGGCAAACCAGCTGCCAAACAACACTGAGCAGACATGACACGGGAGTCTCAAAATGTTTCAAACAGCCTGCTCTCTAGAATTTTGTCAAGTATACATATGATGCCTACCAGCCTGGGGCCACCCGAGGAACATCTGTTCCCCTGGTATCCGGCAGAGATGATAATGGTATACAACACAGCATGCCAGAAAGCTCATCCTCTCTGTGAAATGATGCCAAACCAGGCTCCATATGACATCAGTTTGTCCATCTCCAAAAAAAACAGACTGTGAGCTCACAAACTCCATTTGCCTTATAAACTGTTTTGATGGGCTGGAAGCCTTAAAATGTATAGCAGCAAAAAGCTAGGGAAAGGCATTTGAAGGAAAATGTCAGGGTTTCTCTTCAGTTGACTACTGTTACTGGTATAGTAGTAGCACTGTCTGCCCAGTGCTCCATTACACCAGGCGTGGTATAGGCATGCTGTAACAATGGAACTCCATCAGAGTGTTTAAAGGGATTTTTAAAAATGAAATCTTTTATTACACAGCTTCAATTTTTACACACCTGTATTTATGAACATAGAGCAGTTAAGATTCCAAAGATGGGATAATGTCAGTACTAGTCACACTATAACAATGCTGAGAAATTCACCAAAATGTATTTTAACAGAATGATATCAGATACCAAGTGAACTTCAGGGTCAGGGAGAACCCAGGAAACCCTGATTTCACTATTATTAACAGCTGAATTCTTCCAGTTTGTTCTGGACCTTTCTGTTTCTTTCTCCTTATTTCCCTCAGGCTTTTCTCCCACTCTCTCTTCATACAGTCACTGTCTTTGCATCTCTGATAATTTACTTTCCTCTATTACTCTCCCCACCTTTTCTTCTTCTGGAATCTCGTTCATCCACTGCTCTCCTCTCCATGGTATTGTTATGGCTTTCTATTAGAGCAGAAGGTACGATCCTTATTTTGTTAGCAGTCTACTTGCAAAACATACTTCTGAAGCACAAATAATCCTCCACCTACAGAACACTAAGTAAACTTGCCTGATATTTTACCTGGGTGTTCTAGAGAATTTTTTAATATTTGGTTTTTAATTTATGTAAGCTATTTTGAAGTGGGCATTATTAATCCCCATTTTAATAACAGCACAAAAATATTAAGTAATGCTGGAATGCTACTGACAATGCCTTAACATTAAAGCTAGAAGTAGAGCCCAGATGGTTCCAATTCATTTTGAAGAAACTGAATTTTTGGAGAGTGCACACAGATTTCATAGTTAGAAACCTTCAGGTTGGACATATGTTTAAATTTTAAGGTTTTTCCATAAAGTCAAGCTTCTATTTTAGGTAGAAGAGCAGACATTATTAAAGGAAATTACTTTCAATGATAACAGCTTTTTGGGGTTGTTATGTGCACTGAAGAGGCAGGTGGAAGGGACTGTAGGATGACCAAAATTTTCACTTTGTGAACATAAACCATAAATAGTATTTGATGAATGAAATATCACACTCCTGTGTTTATGCAACAGAAGGGATCCTGCTTTGGTTTTATTATAAGCCTCAGTCAGAGCAGCAGTGAGCATACAAGAGCAGCACAGAGCATGTCATGCTATTTTACCAGAAATTGAGTAGTTTCCTCTCCTACTCCCTCCTCGATGTTACAAACGAAACATTTTTCCAGGCTCCTCCTGCCACCCAAGACAACTTGTCATGTTTAGTCACAATGCTGTAACTGAAAACATATAGCAAAGTCTTGCAAGAAAAGCCTACTCTCATTGTAAGTATAGATGTCTATTCGTCTAGGCTTTATTGGGCTGGGTCTTTGATTTGTTATAAATCAAGGAGAGCTGCTCAGACTACTCTGAATACACAAAGAAGGGCATTTTCCTTTTGTTGATGATTTGCAATTTCTGCCTCACTGTTTTTATGTTAGATCCCTTTCTCAGCTGCATAATTTGCATAACAAAACAAAACCACAGCCTAAGTTAGTATCCTTTGTTAAGTGGGAGGACATAATGGCAAACACTTTTTAAATCACAATGTAAAGCCATAGACAGGTACATGATGACACACATGGGCAGCAAGAGTGATTCTCAATCAAAGATATCATAAATTAAGCATTAATCAGCACAACAGGAGACACCAAAGTACTCCAATGATGCTAATGACCACGCCTGTGAAATTTCAGGTTTGCCAGTATACAGTTAACTTGGGTGGCATGAATTACAAGTTGTTTGCTACAGCCACCTCACAATAGTACTATTCAGCAGTGCACTGGTAACACAGTGATTGGCAGATCTTTGGAACAGTACAGTGCTGCAGCTGGATAATTCCAGCATATTCCTGGTTTAAGTACAATGAAAACATTGATTTCTAATTATGTCCCCCCTTCAGTGTCCTTTCCCTGGGCAGAATGAGCCAAAATCTATTTTTGTGTCTCTCCAGCAACGTTACATACGGTGTGAATTTGGCCATCCAGCTACACTGACAAATCTACTGCTGCTATAACAACAACAACAAGAAGACTTCTTATATTTATAGTTTCATTCACAAGACTTCACAAATTTATTCAATACTGAGGAAGTATCATCCTTCTTCCTACAAAAATGGTGAGGATTTTGCAGAAGAACAAGTAATGAAACTGGACATGGGAGCCAGGTAGCTGGGTTCCCATTACCCTACACTATCCAAAGCACACTGCTGACCCCAAAGAATGTTGCCTCTGTACTGCAGCTGAGCACTGTCAAAAAAATGTCAGTTTTCAAGGGTACCAGTGGCACTATGACAAAATCAGATTCTGAACCCTGCATCTGCTACCATGCAAAAAATAAATAACAATTTTCATGGAGAGCCAGCACTCATGAAAGTCAGGAGGTGTCCTTTTATTGTCCTTTTATTCACTTGCCTATACATTGGCTCAGTCCTTTAAGGACTCAGTCATGTTGTCTTCTGAACCAGTTCTCAGGTGCAGCTATCACTTCTCAAGCACTGAATACTTACGTGCCCAATGGGTGGTTTTCAGATGCCTAAATAGCTGGCTGCTCATTAGCTAGATAGTTTTCTCATCAGCATGTACATTGCTCAAAGATAACTGAGGGTACAAAGAGGTAAAAATATCTTCAAGAATGATGGTATATCTTGAAAGCATCATTGGAACATTAGTCATGTGGAACGCTGACATGTGTCTCCCTCTCTGCCTCCACTGGACACCACTTCAAATTCTTCAAAGAAAGAGCAGAGTTCTTCATCAGCTGGATACTGAAATACTTTTGGCTATGCTTCAGGAACATTTGACTTGCCAGAAAGTGATAACAGGAACCACTTCTGCCCAAAGACACAGAGTTTGAAGAGTTACACAGCCATAAGGTGTCTTTAGTATGTCTGCATCGTTTCTGTCCCAACATCTCCTTCAAGATCAAGCGTGCTGCTGATTGATATCAAACCTTCAGTGTGACTTTGTGTATGGCTAGACTCTACCCTTCTAGGCACATGGACTGACCCAACAGTTTAGTATGTGATCAGTAGGCAGTACTCACAGCTGCTCCAGAATCTCCTCTTTCACAATGGTATAACTAACAGTGACCTACCAGTTTTCAGAAGAGAATAGACATTTCCTTTGTTAAACTGTCTTCATTAAAAAGTTTATGATCTACACTCTAATAATAATTTTGTGGATTATGGTCCCAAATGTTTTCATGTTTTGTGCTACTATACCTCCATCTTCATTTATCCAGTAGAGAAACAGATTCATTGTTCCAACTTCAGTTATTTGGTGATCTTCTCCATAAAGCCACAAAACCTGCTGGCAGCCTAAGTCCAGGGCTTCTTGCTGAGCATAAATAGAAGAACCATAATTCCTTCCAGAAACAAGAAGAAAGAGCAAACAGTTATGAGTTTCTGGTTGAGTATTTTCTCATTTCTATGCATGTTTCTGTGCACTTCTACCTTATGATCAAGTGCTCTGCACAGCCACTGCTTGTCTCTGGAATCTTTCCATGAGAAGTACTCTACTAGTATTTTACTAGATCATTTGTATCTACAATCCAAAAGCTTTGAAGGGCTGAACAGCATCAATAGCTCAACCATATCCATCCACATTGTCTTAAAAATACATCTTGTTCCATTTTCTGGACATTCTAATCATTGCAATTAGACACCATAGGAAAACATTTATCTTTACTTAGTAGTTGGCATCCTTGCAACAATTCCCACCCAGCTCATAGTTTTAAAAAAAGCAAAACAAAACCATCTACTTCATCTCATATATGTCAGATGAACCTCTTGAGATACGAAAATCACCAGAGGTGAGTTATTTCTTTTCTAGTAAAAGACATTCACAGAACTAGTATCTTCAGGAGCTGCAGATGGGCCTTGATGGATTCCATATCTTTGAGGAGCAACTGTTTTCCAAAAATGCTGCCTCCAGAGTGAACCTGACTGAGTAATAAGTATTTACTCTGTAGCTGCTTTGGGAGGGGTAAAAAACTCTTTCGATTCTGATGTTCAACAACTATCAAGACCCAAAGTCAGCAGCTAAAAAGTGCTGACCATATTGGAGTTAAGTTCTCATCTCTGTGCACAATCAAGTCAGTATTGAATCCAGACTATTCCTTTCTTCACAGCTGACATATTAAGGATGCACAGGAAGCAAATCATGTATTTCTAAAACTAAGCAAAAACTCACAAGCAAAAAGTAAAGGTCTCAGAATATCAGATTGAACAAAGGAAAGCTGTTTTCTTGCCCTTTGGTTATTCTACTAGCTCAGCTGAGCAGCACTTAACAACTACTAGCTTCCTGCCTAGAAAAGAAACTCCCAGGTAGAGACAATAAGCTTCGTTTAAACTGAAGACCAAGGATGAATAATTGAGTCATTTATTTAGCCACATCCAAGTTTCTTGCTCCGGTCAAGTCCTAAGAGGTTTCACTCTACAAGTCAAGTACTTGGTCATTAATAATTATGTTTCTACCTAACTAGTGCTTTGGCCTTGTTCAGCACAAAAATGCCAGATCATGGTCAAGTCAATGCAGATAATTGTCTCATCCTTTCCCTTAAACACCCATACTCTCCTAGCTAACTGCAGATGGCCTGTCAGGACAGTCTGCCAAGGAAGTTGGTCAGCAGTCAATGCGACTCCCTGCCCAGTTGGCAGCAGGCTACTACACTGAATGCTGCATCACATCTTTAGTGTCAACTTCTGCAAGGGGATTGGCCAAAGTATTACATGGACACCTTCCAGGTCCAGTTCCTCTGCTTGAGATGCTGCAAAATTGCCTCCGCAAATAATCCACTTGGCTGTAATATCCAAACAAATTATGCAACTGAACTGTATAAACAGTATTTACAAAGTACAATTTTGAAATCTTTTTTATAGTACTTTCTTTGTTTAACTGCTACATTTAATACCTCTACTTCTTCTGGGTTAGATACTTCACTAAAACCCAAATCTCCTTTTGAGCTATGTAGAAGATGCAGACTTATGTTTTCTTACCCTCCCAGTTTGCAGTCCCCTGTTCCTCCTTTCCAGGCTCTTACATATTTTGGATCTGCCCATAAGGATATTGGATTAAAGCTTCCACTTCCAAAGTAAGGGCCCACAGGGCTCAGTATGACATACAGTAGGGCTTTAGTTGGCTTCTTCACTCCAAGGGAAGGCTGAAAATTAGGAATGTAAACAAAATTACTGGTATACTTCACTCCAAACATCAGATATTGCACAATTAGCTTTTGAAACACTGCTTTCAGAAGAACTGCAGCACAAGAGTGCTTTTACCAGGACAATGCAAAGTGATGCAGTGAAGAGAAAATAATCATATAACTTCCCCCCACCATCCAAGCAACATAACAACCCTAATTTTATACACTGTTACCATTCACATACAGCTGTTTCATTTATCTATATATTATTCTAATCTTCTCAAATAGTTTCAGGCTCTTGAGAATTCAGAAATTAGCTTAACAAGATACTATATAATTATATGAATCAATCACAGCAGAAGCCTGCAAAGCTTTTTGGGGGGAGGAATGGCAAGGACCACTGCTAGTGATAGCAACAGCAAAGGAACCACTGTCAGCTGCATTAGTGATGAGAATTAGCTAATACCACTTAGAACTGACATTGATAGAGTTGAGTGCTGGCTTTGTGAATAGCTATGTGACAAGCTGAAATTATTTGCTAGCTGAAAATGGTTCACACAACAGCACCGTTCCAGGAAAGAACCTGGAATGTATCTTTTTTTTTTTTTTTTCCTCTCTGAGAGGTGGCTTCTCACACTTCAGGTCATCACCATCAATATTTGAAGGTGGAGGTGAAAAGTTTGGCACTGGCCAAAGTCTGAGTCCAACTTGCCTAGTTGGGAACCATACATTCTTTAGTTTCCTTGTCCTATGCTCTACCAATATAGGTTTCTCTCTTGCCACTAACAAAAAAAACCCTCAATCCTTAAATTAAAATAAACTCCCTGTTTCTAGTTCCCTTTATAAATACTATAGGCTTGACTCATACACACATGAAACTCAGTACACACTAATATTTAGTTGCTAAGGAGCCGCTTATAAGGTCAGGCTTATCTGGCTTCAAGAATAAATGACACAAAAACTTGTTCTTATTTCTGTTAAAAGTCTCTCTCAGAATAGCCATCTTAATTTACTGGGTAGAATCTTCCAAAATCTCCTCACTAAGGTCAAGATGGAGGTATGAGATGCAATCACAAAATCTACACGGGAAGTTTCTGTTCCCTCACATTTTCTCCGGATTATTAGTATTTCAGAGGCATACATTACCATGTCACAAATAATTATCCTTTTAGTACAAAACCAATGTTAATCTAAATTTTGCTATTACCCCTCACTCAAACCCAGGACAAACAGTTAACCGATTGACTTTTTGTGATCTGTACCAATGTGTCCACTAGGTGGTGGTGTGGTCAACACAAATGTGTGAAGTCAAGCTACAGGTGACTAATTGAAAAACACAAAACCAATTTGCCTCTGAACTATAATACTGCTGTCTAGCGACTGCTGCTTATTTCCCTCCGTGGATGGAGGCTTCTGCTTCAGGCGCAATACACAAAAGTTAAGAGGGGGAAAAAGATGTTTCACACCTCAGTTCCAATTAAGGTAGGACGGATATACAGGCTGGCATCAGTCGAGTATGGGACCCACTCCTTCTCCACTTCCACAAGCTTCTGGATGCACTCTAACAGCTCATTCTGGTCAAAACACTGGGAATGAAAAAAAAAAAAAAGAGAAATAGAGCCTGAGTAGAGTCTTTATAGATTCATATGCTAAGGGGAACACTTCATCAGGATATGTAACAGTTACAGTTCACAGAGGTTCATAGGACTACATCATCTTCCTTGAGTTCATTTCTTACAGAATTTTAAGATCCCATGGTCTTTGCCTTTTTATATAGTACCCTGAATGCCCTCCTGCTACAAAACATCCTCCTGAGATAGCAAAAAGGAGGCCTTGACCCTTCTTGCCTCCAAAACACACGTAGACAACTCCCTGTGCAGCCAACACCTTCACTTTGGCATGCCACAACCTATGGCACTACCTTTTCTGCAGAAGAGTGCTTTGGATTGTAACTCAAGGGGCCCACTGAGTACCCCAGTTTTACAAAGTTGCAAAGTTCTTACCGTAATAAATCTAATAAGCACAGGAGGAAATTCACTGATTGATATACAACTGCTAACAGCAGCATTAAGTTGCTAGCATGATCAAAAATGAAGGCACTCAGAGGCTGAAGGACTTAACTAAAGTTCAGCTGTCTGCATACAAATACCTGCAGAACAGTGCCCATCCCTCAGAAATAGACTGTGTACATCTGAGGCAGTAGGGAGACAACAAAGAAAGCCAAACACTGTTGTGGTTTAAAAGAAAAAATAATTTCAAGCAGTTCCCTTCACTGAATAAGATCTCTTAACAAACTTTAACTGTACTGTTCAAGAGTTAGAGCATTTGATAAAAGTTACACTACTGTGAAGTTTCAGAAATTTGCACTCTGAAAATAAAAATACACTCTGATTTAAGAAGAATAAGATGCCTTGGCTACATACTGGCAGAGATGCTCGCCTTGCTGACCGCACCATCCTGTCCATGTTGAGGGTTGGCCGGAACAGGCGGATTTTGCCATCCACTCCCCGATAAGCCTTCATTCCTTCAAATAACTACCAAGCCAAAAATGAGGGAAAAGAAATCAAATAATAATTGAGACATGTTATACCATGTTGACCTATGCAAAAGCAGAACATACCCTTTTGGAAATAAAAGAACTTCACTTTCCTGCTCACATTACTCAAAGCATAAATGCTAACTAGTTAATCCTTGTAACACACTCCCGTGAGGTAGTATTATGAAGTTTATATCACAAAGATGACCTGCCTATGCTTCAGATCTATCTTTCTCTGTCAGGGGACTTAATGATAATAATTTTTCTCATAAATTAGTTACAGCAATTAAAATTTGTAGCATGTGTTTGACTTAACTATTCCCTCACATCATGATTGATAACTAAGGCTGATCCAAAACAGTATTCTCCCTTATGGAAAAGATCTATAGAATTTAGTTATGTATGTTAATAATTTTAGGGGCTCTGTCAAAAATGCATTTTGGTAGGAACCATAGAATAATATAATTAAGGGAACTCAGTTGCAGTTCTTGTTGAAGTTGTAGTAAAATCTTGGTCACTTATTTCCCCTGTATAGACCTACACTGTGAAAGGGGGTTTAGCTAGCATGAGAGACAGATGTGTCAGCCCTACACTAGAGAAAGAATGCATTAAAATGTTGTATCTATACCTTACAGGAAACTTAAATTAATCATAACTATCCCATCAAACTGCAGGATCTGATGACTGGTGTTGACAACTGATTTACCAGAAACCCTTATCCCACCAGTGCCCTCCCAGAAGAATGTGCTACAGCATCTCCCAACCACTGCAAAACACATATGCCCACAAAATATCCATAGTTATTTTCAGATACAGATTGATGATTTTCAGTTATAGTTACAGACAGAAAACACATGCATTATATAAGCTCACATTAATATATACATATATACAGGTATTATCTAGATTAAGTATTAAAGGAACACTTATGCTTATAGACAAGAATTCAGATTTTTAGAATAGATTTTCTAAAACATTTCTTTGCACATTAAATTTCAGTATAAGTTCTGTGAATTTAACTGTATCACTGCTGTCAGTCTCCTCAGACTTCTCCTCCTGACTGTTCCACAAAAAATGGCTGGAAATACATTCTATGGATTCTCTTTTGGAAGTTTACATATGCAGGTTTTTTATTTGGAAAAAAAGAATCCTGTATTTGTGTATAAGTGATTTTAGTAGAATATTTAAGGTTTCATTATTATTAATTCTAAAACATTTTCCCGTAAGGATCAGTGAAATGCAATGCTAGAAAGCTTTTGTGCAGTCCCATGACAGAGCTAGGTCCTTCCACATGACAAATTTTAATTGGGTTGTAACTAGGTTGCAGGAATCCCGACAATTTTCCTTAGGCTACATGCCAACTATGTACCAGAACCGGAATTAGAACCCAGAACTTTTTGCCTTCAAAATTTATCTTATTCCTATGGCAATGCCAACCTTATTAAAAGCTTTGTACACAGTTTTGAAAGGAAACTGTTCTGAGGATAGACATTGTACCTACAAGAAAAAAAATCTGTCTTTAATAAAGGATGGCATAGCTGGTGATATGGATGATACTTTGATATGATTTTTACTGGGACAGTTACTAATACCACATTTCTGTAATGCTACTTTCTTATCACAGAACAGTTGTTTCCCTCCCACCCTTCTCCCAAACACATTTACAGAACTTTAAATGAGAGGGAAGAGGAAGGAATGTTACTACTAAGATTTGATCAATGGTTTAAGAGAAGTAAGAATCACATCATTACTGAAACACAAAGCCTTCTCAAGCTGATAGATCTTTTTCTCCAAAAAGAAATACTTTTAACCTTCCAGAGCTCAGTAAAACCTTTCAGTCTTTAAAAAAGGAGACAGTGATGTGTTCCAGAAATGCTCAACTTGAATAAAAGCAACTGCTGTTGTTGCTTGATGGTTGGTTGCTACAGTGGTGTGCAAATAATACTATCCGACATCTGTACATCACAGGAGCTGGATCTGGAGTTCATCAGATCCAAACTATCACACTGCATCATGAAGGGCAAGGAGAAAGGGGAGGGAATGCCAAATTCATCATTTTTATTATACCCACTGTGTATTCATTGAGCCACAGCATTGGCACCAGATTCTCCTCTGTCTGTCCTCTTGGCTAGAGGAAACGTGATGCAATATGGGTAAAAGAATAAAAAAAATGGAAAAAAAATAAGAGCATATTCACATTAGCAATTATTTCAGACTGGGCCAGAGGCCGAGCATTAAAGCAATATGCTATTAAGAATGAAATATAGATTTGGGACTCCAGCGTGGTTTCTTACTTCTTGGGCAAATCAAGAGCTGCAACCTTTGCCACAGAGGCCGGTTGTAATTTACACAGGACCTTTGGAGGCTTGGTGACTAGATGGGGAAAAAACATCAACAACAAAAAATGGTGAAGGCAGGAGCTCAGGGGCAACAAGCTGGGAAAAGCTTGAGCCTTCCCTTATACCAGTGATTAGAGAAAAAAAAAATAAAAAAAAAAAAAAGCACAAGCAATTCCACTAACTTCAGTGGAAACACTTCCACCTACTCAGAAGCAGGAGGAGAAGCAGGCTTCTGTTTCAGCATATGTGCCCTACTGAGGCGCTCACACAGATGTGAGTATAGACAAAGCTGCTCTGGAGACACAAAAGGCAGCTTTAGGCAGTAAGCAGCTAAGCACGGAAACTGTAACCACGCTGGTTTCCGACTTAACATTTCACTTTCCAAAGTTCCTTGCTGTATATTCTCTGTTTAAATACACTTCTATATGCTGTATGCATCAGATCTAGTTTGGAGCTCTCCAGACTTGCTCGGAGTTGCAAACAAGCATCTATCTAGTCTGTCCTGCAATCCAAGCTATGAGCCTTTGAAACAGCTTAAAATAACATTCACAAAGGTCCCCAAATTAAATCTACTCTTGAAATCTCACACAGTCTTATCCAGTGCTTCATTAAGTTACATCAGAGATGGTAACTGGACCAATACACTATCAGTGAACTAGAATGCTTTCTCAAATGAATTTGTCACCACACAAGAAAGGCCTGACCTTCACTAGGCTAGAAAGTTAAGTGAGCTGGAATCCACAGGCCAGAGTTGCTTCTGAGTTATACGAACAGAAACATAACCCTTTTGTTAATAATGAAATTATTCTGGAAGGACATCAGTTAACAAAATAAAATGTAACTCAGTACTAGTAAACTTAAGACAGTAATAGTCCTTGTATAACAAAGCTATGGCTTCAAGAGCTAACAAAACAAAATAGCAGTTTCCAAATCGATTCAGTACTTACCTCAACAGCATAGTGCAGAGACGAGGAGGCTGGATGCAACGAAAGGTTCTCAAGCGGCTTAATATAAGGTTTCTCCCATCCTGAAGCCAAGGACCACTCAATTGTCAGCATATTGTCAGTGAACACAGTTCCAAATACCAAACCACTGGGGTCTGGTTTTTCCTTGAAAGTTGTAGCTGGGTTGATAATCAAGTCTGAAGCCTGAAAGAATATGAAGACAAAAATGAAGTGTGTAAAAAGAATTAGATTGATTTAAAAATTATTCTGCATCAGCAACCATGGGCAAATGCAGTATTTTATCTGCAGGAACATTTAATGACAGAATTATTAAAGACAGCTAGCCCCAAAGTAGCTAGCAAAATATTCATATTGTGTATGCACACATATACACAGTGCTGCATATACCAGAAGTAGTTAGCATATTTTGCAGCACTGTTAAGTCGAGGAAGCACTATAAGGTGTAAAACCAGAAAATTAGCAGATGAAAATTTCTTGGACATTTAGATTAACAAATCCATACAAGTTCCAGAAACACCCAATTTCTGTATCTCAGAACATAAGCTAATAATCAGAAATTAATCCCCCTCTCAACTAAGTAGGTATGTTATTCTGATTTTCCTTTAATGCATAAAACCAGTGTGAGAGATCAGAGCCAGCAGTCAGGAGATTACTTGGGTCACACTAACTTGTTCTTCTGCATTCATATTTTCCTAGAAAGATCCTATTAGCAAAGAAGGCTAAATGTTTCCGTGCATGACTAACTGTAGAGACTTTCTCCTACAAGCCATGACTAGCTGCAGAAATGCAGCATAGTTTTTTGTACTGGTTTTGTCTGAGATAGAGTTAATTTTCTTTATAGTAGCTCCTATGGTGTGAATCATCCTAAAGAACAGCAGGGGAAGAAGGAAAGCAAGATCACTGGCATTTCACTCCCCTTATATACACAGATAGGGGCTAAACAACTGGAGAGCGCTATGAAGTTGGCAGTCTTGATCCGTCCTCTCCATTCTCTTTCTATGCCATCTGAGCATTTAAACTGTGCTGGTCAGAAGCAAGGAAGAATTCAACAACAAATTGTTTTCAAAACTCCATTTCCCTTCCTCACATGACTCAGAAAGCATTGACCTTTATTACAAACAACTGAATGAAATTGTTCTTCTCTATGTTGGGTACATATAGAATAGACTGCAACACAGGTAGTTCAGACTATTGTTCAAATGATTTGCACATGCACTAAAAAGCAGTTCTGCAAGAGGTATCACTCACTTTGACTTCTCAGACTCAGCACACATTTTGCAAAATGAGAAAAAAAATTAGTCCCAAGCTCTTGAAAAAGAACACATGCACCCCTGTCTCCATAAACATGATTTTCAAGATGTTTTTAATGAACAATAGCCTAATTTTTATTGATTGGTTGGTGGGGTTTTTTGGGGTTTTTTTTTCTTAATGGCTTAGATGTGACATTAACTTAGAGCTGGAGCACATGAATAGCTAAAAGTGTGTTTTAAACCATCTCCAATTACAGCCTTGTCTAGATATTACAGTGCATTAGCCTGGTTGAACTAATACATAATCTGATGAAACAATTACTCTTCTTAACTCTTTATAGTACTCTTTATCCTGCTGACAGTGAATGCTCCAATGGGAAAAGCACTACTTAATGATGTCCTGAAAATAAAAATTAATTTCACCTGACAACCTCTTATCATATGCTTTGGGAAAAAAAGATACCACTGAAGAGGGTGGATCAAAATAGAAGTCACAAAGGAGTGTTTGCAAGTATCCACAAGGCAAGACTCAGCTCAGGTAAACACTTATGCAGGAACAGGATGTCAGTGGGGCTCAAGCAAGGATGCAGAACACAGTTATATCCTTGGTTTTGTCTCTGGACAGAATCAGAGCTTCTTAAGAACTACTGACAGTGACATTGGCAGCTCTCCCTGAAGTCAAGGCTTCTGTCTCATCTCAGGTCATTTTCATGAAGGCAATTATCTTTACAATAAACTGGCCTGAAGAATTATCATTTGAAGTCTCATCCCTTAAAACTCCCATCAGTGTGCTGATTTCTGCTTTTATGCCTCAGTTTGCCACTTCCACAGTTCTGGTAGTACAACTAGTTAAAAGGCAGCACTATAAAACAGTTTGCTAAATTCATCAGGGTTAACAAATAGCTTTTACTTTAAGGATGGGGCCGAGATTCAAGAGAGCCTTGGACAAAGTCTCTGGCATGTGAATGATAATTTAATAAAACCATGATGATCAAATACAAGCATGTTATGCTTGTTATGCTCTAATGGTTAATACAAAGAGAGTCCCAGATCCAGAGTCACTCCTATGCTGGCTCATTAGAGATAAGAGGTGGGCCAAGCATTCACTCCTGCAAGTTCAATAAAATGGGTACTCCTGTGTGAATGGCGATCACACAGCAGTGACTATGGCTCAGAGCAGTAGCCCACACTGCTTAGCTCTGAGCCCCAAGGATTGGGGGCTTTCTGCAGTCACAAATGGAAATCACTGGACTGGATTTCAAGTTGAGTCACCTGAAGGCAGAAAGCCTAGAGAGGTAGGTAGCTGTGATGCTTATCCAAAAAAGAAGCAAATAGTTTCTGGACCACAGAGCTTCCTGGAGCTATGCACTCTGAACAACGAGCCCACCTGCTGTTTGTCACCTCCTTCAGCATTTAGGGAAACCAGCTTTCATTCAGGCATTTTGCAAAGACCTGATTCAACGATATCAGGTACAACGCTTGACCAATAATACTTCCTTCAAACGGTAGGAACACCCTGCAGAAGACCTCAAATACAGGCTAAACAGCACAGATCAATAGGGCAACAATAATTAAACAGCCAAAAAAGGCAATTTTCCTTATCCTTATAACCCTGTCAAGCTCTTAGGAGATGCATTTAAGGGTTTTTTTTTTTTTTTGGTCATTACTTTCTTAAGATCCTTTCTTAAGGCTCTTCCCCCTTTGACATCATTCAACTGTATTTTTCTCCCTCTTTTTACCAAGAAGCAAGTAGTGCAAGTTAGCAGTGTGCAAAATCACCTGAATCTTTTGGAATCCCAATGCTTTTTATGTCAAGACACCGTCAACCACTGCAATATATTGATTCTTTTTTTTCCATGGAGGGGGATACAGTGGGAGTGTTGGAGAACACATCCTTGCAGTATTCTCTCCCACAGTGTGGTCTGCAGCACGATGTAGTGCCAGCACCCTCAACATCTTCTAGGTCCCTGAGTAATGAGACCCCATACACAACATCTCACCTGGCTCACAGACCCTTTTGGCCCCAAAGTCCTGTCCCAACATTTTGTGGTGCTGTTCAAACAGCACCAGCAGGAAGGAAACCTCTCAGAACCCACACAAAGAGAGCAGAGCCAGGCCAGGTGACGAATATCTGGAGTACTGATTAAGTATCAATTCCTAATACTTTAATATCATTAATATAATTTTTAAATTATCACAGTGCTACCGTGGTATCACCTTTGACCTTTATAAACTGCAATTTATTCCTTTCCCTTGTCAACATTCTCCCAGCCCTGAAAACAGCATATTAAGGATGCATTAGAGACTGACCTTAACACCCATTCAGATCTTTGCTGTTTTTATTGCCAATACAAAGGGCAATTTTCAACTTCGTCTGTGTTTTGCTTGCTTTGTTTATCAATGTGTTCTCAATCTCCTGATGATGCTGCCTAACCCCATCATTAAACTGTAAGGAAAACTGGTAGATTCAGGAACAAAAAAAGAGAAGGGAGATAAAGAAACTGATGTGGCACACAGTCTATTAAGTACAGCTATTCAGCCCCTGTTGCCTAATGTAAAATGATAAAGATGTAGTTCCAGCCCTGCAAACTCTCCATGTCAAAGCAGTGCAGCATGTACAAGATATGTGTGCCTAGGTCCCAGCCCAAGGCACTCCAGTAAGAAATAGGAAGAAACAGATTGTCCTGCCTATGGTAGGCAAAAGGGGGTGGCGGTAAAGCCAGCTGGATACTGTTGATTTTCAGGGCTTATATGGCAACACTACACCTTCAAACAGCCACTGTCTTGACCAGACACACTTTTTTGAATAGTCCCTCATCTGTAAAGTGCCTGCTGATTTCAGCACAACTTCTTCAGAGAGAAGCTTTAGCCAGCTCAAGAAAAGAAGATATATTGTGACCTCCTGAAACTAAAATTCATCATTTGATCAAAACAGATCTTGTCAATTATGAGCTAGGTCAAATTAAAAGTGACATGCTGGTCAGTGTCAATTTTAACCAAAGCTGTAGGAAGACATTCTGGTGCCCCAGGTCAAGATGTCAGTTTAGTGCTTATTCTACCCAGCATTTGTACAGCCTTAAGTGGATTTGGAGCTGACAGCAACCTCTGGCCAGAGCTGCTACTTTCATTATTACATTCCTACCTTTCTTACCCTAGAGGGCTGTCTCAGGTAGGAGCAGATGGAAATTGCATATTTTGTCCTACTCTTTACATCAAATTTTGCCAATGACTTCTCAAATGATCCTTAGCTGTGGTTATTTTCACTGCACTGAAACTACAAGACCATAAGCAGTAGGTTGAGCATCTGTAACAGGTCTAATTCATTTGACATACCCAAACTTTTCTAAACACTGTGCTGGGCCAAGTCTTTCTATCATTTACTTGAGTAAAAACAGAACTGACAGCCTCAACTGCAAAATAGCTTACAAGTTACCTAACTATAACAGCAAGTTTCAGCAGAGATCCTCAAAATATTAGCATCCACTCAGTGAGACTGACTGTAATCTATTCTGATGAAGTAAGTAACCTCCCTGACTTCTAGTCAAGGTGATTCATTCAAGATCACAAAGCAACTGCAATTACTGTTTTCTATTACTTATGCTGAGTTTTGTAAGCATATCCTAGGAAAGATCAGGACCTTCTGATGTGATAACAGACATGGAAGCACAGGCAAAATTTAATAACTTGCTTTGCCCTTGCACTTGTGAACAGCAAAATGTTGCAATAGCAGAGCAAATTTTGAGGAGACAGATTACAAAGAGCATGAGGAATTACTATAAAGGGGAAAGGTAACAAAGCATAGCCAGGGCAAGTTGGAAAGAACAAGGCTGGGACTAGACAGAATGGTTTTGAGGAGAGCTCCAGGGATGAGGATGTCATTTTCCTGACGTTCAACGGCTGTGGCAACCTTATCATTGCTTTTGGGCCCTCCAC